CTTTTATTGGTACATTGTAGGTATACAGCACAATTACATTTCTCATTGGGAATTGTACCTTTATATAATGCATCTTGGTTCTTATTTTTTCCCCATCCTTGTGCCTTTTTAAAGGCATCAAATTACACCTCCTGGCTTGTGACCCATCACATGTTGTGGGGACTCTTGTCTTTGGGATTCAGGACAGAACTCAAATAGCTGAGGTTGTTAATCTTCAGATGCCCCAGCAGTCGCCGGTGTTTTACAAATCCTTTTTTTTTTTTTTGGTACCAGGGATCAAACTCGGGTCCTTGTGCTTGTGAGGTAGGCGGTGGAACCACTGAGCTAAATCCCCAGCCCTTTACAAATCCTTTTAACGAAGGCTCCAGCTCCTGCCACTGACCCCATCCTGTGGATCTGTCCCAGGCTTTTTGTTTTTTGGGGGTTTTTCTTGGTATCGGGGATCGAACTCGGGACCTTGAGCTTGCGAGGCAGGCGCCGGAACCACTGACCTAAATCCCAGGTTTTACTAGAATTTGGAGAGCCACTGGGCTCCAAGAAGTGGTGCTGGCGCATCCTGGTGGCAAACGGCGGAACTGCAGGTGCTCTGTCCTGGCTCCGCCCCTGGGGCCAAGGCGCTTCCTGGTCACCTGGGAGCCTCTGTCCAATAGAACAAACCTGACCGGAGACGGAGAAGGTGGTGCCCGCCACCGAACTGGGGGTCTTGGAGGCCGGAAGGGTGAGGGGCACACGGTCCTGAGGACGCGAAAAGGGGAGGACAGGAGAGGGGCGGTTCTCTGGGCATGCGCGGGAGCGTGCGACTCTCGGACAGGGTAGCGAGCAAAGGGGACGGAACCGCGCCGTCGGGATCCTGGAGAGGTGGCCCGGCTAGGGGGACGCCATCATCCCTCTGCCTCTCTACAGATGGCGTCGATGAGCCGTGACACCCCTTGTTCCTGCGACTGCTTTGTCTCTGTGCCCCCGGCCTCTGCCATCCCGGCCGTGATCTTTGCCAAGAACTCAGACCGACCCCGGGACGAGGTGCAGGAGGTGGTATTTGTGCCCGCGGGCACGCACGCCCCGGGGAGCCGCCTGCAGGTGGGCGCTGGGAGGTGTGGGAGACCTTCCTCTGTTCCCAGGCCCTGAAATCATCTGTAAAATGGGGCTAAGACCTTGGTGGAAAGCAGGGCATAAGCAGTGCCCCCTTTTCGAGTGGCCTTTTCCTTTCTGTCCAGTGCACCTACATCGAGGTGGACCAGGTGCCCAAGACCCACGCTGTGATCCTGAGCCGCCCCTCTTGGCTGTGGGGGGCTGAGATGGGCGCCAACGAGCACGGGGTCTGCATTGGCAATGAAGCCGTGTGGACCAAGGAGCCAGTTAGGGCCGGGGAGGCCCTGCTGGGGATGGACCTGCTCAGGTGCGGCCCTCCTCCGTGTCCCTTGCCTGGCGCTCCCCAGTCCACCTTCCTGTGGCCTCCTCCCCTGGCTGACCTTGTCCTCCTGCCTTCCCAGAGACTGCCCGGTCCCTCCTTCCTCCTAGCTCGGTCTCCCGGGGCTGATAAAGAGCCTGGCCTGGCTTGGAGACAGGCTGGCAGCACTTCAGTTTTTTAATAGTTGTGAGCTGGTTTTGGTTGTTGGTTTTTTTGAGACAGGGTCTCACTAGGTAGCCCAGGCTGGCCTTGAACTTGCCTCAGCCTCCCGAGTGCTGGGATGACAGGCGTGTGCCACACCCAACTTGTAACTGTTTTTCATTCGAAACCTCATGCGTGGAGTCCCAGTTCATAAAAGTGGAATGGTGGCTCGGTAATGGTGTGACTGAGTCGAGGCAGGGGCTCAGGGCATTGCTGTCCCTGAGACACTCCTGTCCCCGAGGCTGGGTTTCAGCCCTTGCCATGGTACTCTGACCACAGCTTTGAACCCACTGGCCCCACAGTGTTCACTGTGATTGATGCCAGTGTATTTGCTGTGTGACTTGGATTTGTCACCAGGCTTCTCTGGGCCCCTTGTGTCCACCGGAGCTTCTGCCACCTGGGACTGCTAGCCCCGTTGCCCTCTGCCCTCCCTCTTTGCCAGGCTGGCGTTAGAGCGGGGCAGCACTGCCCTGGAGGCCATGCTGGTGATCACCGGCCTGCTGGAGCGCTATGGACAGGGTGGCAGCTGCCGGGAGGACCCGGCTCCGTTCTGCTACCACAACACCTTCCTGCTGGCCGACCGGACAGAGGCGTGGGTGCTGGAGACGGCAGGGAGGCTGTGGGCGGCTCAGCGGATCCAGGGTGAGGGGCTTAGAGATGCACCCTTTGCCAGCCTGGGGAGGCAGGAGAGCTGGGGTGGACAGGCCCCCATCCTAGTGCCAGGCAGATGGGAAATGAGCCCACTGAGCAAATCTCTGCCCTCTTCAGCCTGCCGCCTCCTCTGGGAAGTCCTCCCGGGCTTGGCTGGGCAGTGAGCACACTGTATATGCAAGCAGGCAACCAGCCCAGTGCCTGGGACAGAGGGGCCGCTCCGTGGTAATAGAAGGGCTCCCCTCCTCCCTAGCGGGGGCCCGGAACCTCTCCAACCAGCTGAGCATCGGCGTGGACATCTCGGCAGAACACCCGGAGCTGCGGAGCCATGCACAGGCCCAGGGCTGGTGGGGCGGACAGGGCTCCTTTGACTTTGCCCAGGTCTTCTCGCTGACCCAGCAGCCAGTGCGCATGGAGGCGGCCAAGGCCCGCTTCCGGGCGGGGCGAGAGCTGCTGCAGCAACGGCAAGGTCAGGGCGGTGGGGTTGGAGAGGGGAGCCCCACAGGCAGCCACCCCTGCCCTTGCCAGGGCCTCACCCTGTCCTGCTCCTGGGCAGGGGACATCACAGTGGAGGCGATGATGGACATCCTCAGGGACAAGGACAGCGGCATCTGCATGGACTCTGGGGGCTTCCGCACCACGGCCAGCATGGTGTCCATCCTGCCCCGTGACCTTAAGCGCCCCTGTGTCCACTTCCTCACCGCCACCCCAGACCCGTCCAGGTGGGACGGACAAGGGAACAGGGGACAGTGTGCCAGGCCGGGGAGACAGTGGGATGTTCTCTCCCTCTGTCCCTCCATCCCTGTCCCCTCAGGTCGGTGTTCAAACCTTTCATCTTTGGGGAGGGGGTGACCCAGGCCCCCCAGGTGCTGTCCCCCACTTTTGGAGCCCAGGACCCCGTTCGGACCCTGCCCCGATTCCAGACTCAGGTGGATCGCAGACACTCGCTCTACCGTGGACACCAGGTGGCCCTGGGGCTGATGGAGGCTGAGCAGGTAACCCTGGGAATGGGGGTTGCCTGGGGGCCACACACCTCGGCCAGGCGCAGCTCTCTGGGACTGAGAGGGGCTGGGCATGGAGGAGACTGCAGAGCTGACAGAGGGCTGCGCTCCTTGGAGCTTGCTGCCTGGGAGACCATCCGAGTTCCTGGCTCTGTCTTGTTTGTGCAAGAGGGGACACAACCGCCCCAGCCCTGCCACTTTCCCAGCAGGAGAGGGGACAGAAGCTTCGGCAGAAGCAGCATGACCTGGAGCGGGAAGGCCTGGAGGTCCTGTGGGGGCTGCTGGCCGCCGGTGAGGGGACCCCACCACCCCAGCAGCTGGGCAGCCTCTTCCAGGCCTTCGTGGAGAGAGAGGGCCAGGCCTATGCCTAGCATGCAGCACCCGACTTGGGGAGCATGGCGTACCTGGAACCAGCTCCTGAGCCCCGGTGGGGAGAGCAGCCTTTGCCTCAATAAATGTGTTGTATTTTCTGCTTCAGTGAACTGGATCCCAGGGCCAGTGTGGGGGAGGGAGCCGAGGGAGGGCAGAGGGCAGCCCGAGCTGGCTGTAGGCAGGAAGGTGGTGACAGGGCGGGAGGATGGGAACAAGTGTCCCTGTCCATGTGTGCGTGCTCTGGGACCAAAGACTCTGCCTCACACAGTGGCTGGTGACTGCTGGGGGACAATCAGGACCGCGAGGGTGAGGTCCTTTGCTTGCACTAGGTCTGCTTCTTGGTTCAGGGCAGGTTCCTTCCCTTGAGATGCCAAGTGACAGGAAAGGCATTTCGAGGCCAGCGACCCTTTATTGAGAGGGCTGGGGCAAGTGAGGGCGTGGGTCAGAGGGAAGCCACAGTCAGAGGCCACGCTTCACTTCTTGGCTCTCTCGGTCGTAGTCTTGGTTGTGCTGGGGATGCTGACCACAGAGGTCTGAGGGGCAGGGGCAGGGGCAGAGGCCGAGGCGGCTTGAGGCTCCTTCTCAGCCTGGCCAGAGCTTTTCTGGTCCCTGGGCGCCAGCACCCTTGGTTTGGTGGCAGGAGATGAAGCCTGGGGCAAGGAGGCCGGGCGTGGCTCCTCCTTTTGGGCTGGGAAGACCCTAGGGCTGCTGTCGCCAGCGCGGGGGGCAGGGGGCAGCTCGGTGATGACGGGCTGCGTCTCCATCCGCAGAAGGTGCTCCATCAGGGCCGCCTGCTGCCGGCGCTCCAGGGGCCCAGTTGTCTCCCGAGCCAGCTCCCTGAAGAAGCCTAGTGGGGCCAGGGCGGGAAGTGGCTCAGGGAGGTCCCTGGCCGACCTCTGCCATCCCGAGGGGCAGAGCCTGAGGCTGGGGCTGGGGCCGGGGGGGCTTGGCCCCCTGGCTGTCCTGGGCTGCCACCTGTCCACTGCTTGTGCCCCAGTGCCGCCCGGGCTTGTGGCCACTCCCTGGACCCCACTGCCATCGTCCCCAGGCCCTGCAGGGCAGGGCAGGCTCTGGGGAGCCTGCAGCCTTGGAAAGTGGGGTTACCTCGCTCTGAGCAGAACGGGCCATTCAGCCCCAGGAACTCGTCCTCGTCCCCCGAGGCCTGGTCCTCCTCCTCTGAGGTCCAGCGCTCGGCCACGGGCTGCTTGTCCAGGTCCAGGAGCAGGGGCAGTGCTGCAGTCACCATCTCCCTGTGGGCAGAAAGAGCAGAGGCTGCCCAGGAGGAGCCCTGGCATGGAACCTGGAGGACGCAGTGATGCTGGCCATAGCCCCACAGCTGGAGGGGTGGCAGCTCACAGGCTGGGAGTGGGGCCTGGGCTCAGGCAGACAGCCCAGACTGGCTGGGTGGCGCATGGGGGATGGGATGGGAAGGGGCAGCCTGATCCGGAGGCATGGAAGAGAAGGCCAGGGACAGTGCTGGGTTTGCAGGCTCAGGGAGCCACCTAGCACCTTTTTTTTGAGACAGGGTCTCACTATGTGATCCAGGCTGGCCTTGAACTCATGATGCACTCACTGGCCTCAAATTCACAGCCATCCTCCTGCCTCAGCCTCCCGGGACAGGCGTGAACCACCACACCTGGCCTTGGCCAGCACCTCTTGCCCCACCCTCCATCCCTCCTCACCTGTATCCCTTCCGGGTGGTGCACTGGTTTCCAGTGAGGCTGAGGATGAGAAGGCTCTGGGGGAGCTCATCTGCACACAGCAGAGAGAGGCAGTGAGGTGCCACATGCTCTCCAGATCCTCGGTAGAAGGGAACACATGTGGGGTGTGGCAAACACCAGCACAGGGAGACAGGCAGAGGCCCCCTCCCGCCCACGGACATGTTCTGTGAGCCAAGGTGGAGGGGACAAGCATGCTCCTACCCAGCAGCAGGGAATCTATCAGGTTCTCAGAAAGGTCCAGAAACTGAAGGTGCGGGAGGGCGAGAAGGTTTTCCACCTGCCTGATGCAGTTTCCTGCCAAGGACAGGAAGCTGCAGGGGAGGGAAGGGGACAGAGACAGAGATGAACACAGGACAGCTGGGGGGAGGGAGGAGGGCACCAGCACCTGGGTGACCAGCAGGGACACTGCCTGCGGGGGTAGGGAAGCAGGGCCAGAATCAGGGGTCAAGGCTGATGGAGAGCTGGGATTGGGCAGGTTGCAGCCAGCTCTCTGGGGCAGCGTTGCCAGTTGCCAGTGTCCCCTCCTACCTCCTCCCTGCCGGAAGCCTGGTCCCACCTACCGCAAGGAGGGAATGCAAGCCAGGTTCTCGATCCGCTGGATCTTGTTCTGCAAGAAGAAACCAGACTGAGGTCAGCTGGTGGGGGCCCTTCAGGGGACAAAGCCCCAAGGCCTCGTCCACTGTTCCTGCATAAGGTGGTGTACTTTGGGGGTGACCACCCACCCCTGACAGAAGTGACTAGACCACTGGCTTTCTCCAGGTGGATGGATAAAGGTATAAACTTGGGGCTGGCCAAACTGGATTAAAGTACACTTTTCTGACCCCACAACCAAAGAGGGACCTAGAAATCATAGGAAGAAACCAAGGGCTGCTAAGTGGCTGTCCTAACCAGAGGGAACAATGAGCATATATTAATTTGATCTGTAAAATTTCTGTAGGAGCCAGATGTGGTAATGTAGGCCTGTATTCCAGCACTTGGGAGGCTGAGGTAGGAGGATCACCATGAGTTTGAGGCCAGCCTGGGATCCATAGTAAATTCAAGGCCAGCTTGAACTACATAGTGAGACCCTGTCTCAAAACAAACAAACAAACAAACATATTCTGTGGGTAAGTCTAAGGGACCCAGGGAAGGCTGCAGGTCACTCAGCCACCACCACCAAATGCCCTTCAAGGATCCCAAGGGTGTAGAAGAATCTTTATAGATTACTCTTCCTCTTCTTCAAAAGAGAAAATGGGCTTGAGCTGTGAAACTTGAAAGGGTTATGGTAGATACCAAGAAGAATTTCTAGGCCAAGAGAAGTGTCTGACTAGAGTATTTTCAGAGTCACATTTTTCTGTCAGTACTGGGGACTAAACTCAGGGCCTCTGAACTAAGCTACATCCCCAGCCCTTTTTATTTTTATTATGAGACATGATCTCCCTAAGTTGCCGAACTGTCCAGGCTCGGTTGACTTACAATCCTCCTGCCTCAGCCTCCCAGAGTGCTGGGATCGCATGTGTGCAACACTGTGTTCAATTAATCTGGGAATGGTTTAAGTGCCTGGCCGAACTCAAAGAAGGCATGAGATGCCAGTCTGGCTGCTTTTATCTCTCTCTCTCTTTTTTTTTTTGGTACCGGGGATTGAACTCAGGTCCTTGTGCTTGCGCAGCAGGTGGCAAAACCACTGAGCTAAATCCCCGGCCCTTGGCTGCCTTTAGATTAGTCAGACTTTGTCCACAGGGAGCAAGAGGAGAGGAAGGGGAGGGGACAAAGTTACCTGTTGCAGATAGAGGCTGTGAATATTCTGCAGGCCCTCTAGGTTTCTGATCGCGGTAATCTGCTCTCGGTCCAGGCGCACCGTCTGCAGGTCAGCAAGGGTGTGAAACCTGGGACAAGGGTCGGCAGTGCAGTGTGGGACAGGGCTCACCTCTGTGGCCTCTTAGCCTGGAAAATGGGAAGGTGGGAAGAGGAGAGGAAGGAGGGATAGACAGCTGGATGGATCAGATGTCCAGACAGCTTCTGGACCCATGAAGTGGTGTCTGGTCATGGAACTGGCTCGCTGTGGAGACCAGGATCTTTGTCAGTGGTCAGGGTCAGAGTGAGAGCCCGATCCAGGAGTCCCCTGGGAAACTGGCAGACAGCAGCTCATGGTTCCTAAAGAGATTGAGATGAGAGAAGCCTTCCCCGGGCCAGCCTGATGGTCGAGGCAGAGATGAGGCCATTTGTGCAGGAAGACCCTTCCTCACCTCCCTTCTGAGTGTCCCTGGCGGAGCAGCATGTGCTCCTGCCATGCACTTGTATTGAGGGCCTACAAATGACAGAGTCCCTGCCCACCACTACGAGAGAAGCCAGCCAGACACCTATGACAAGTGAGTGGCAGAGGCAGGTACAAAGAACTGATGAAGTCGTGGGAGATTTAGTCTGGCATAGAAGGCTCAGGACTGCTTCCAGGAGGAAGTGACAGATGAATAGGAGTTAGCTACAAAGATAGGAAGGGACCAGGAAAGAGGCATTACAAGCAGAACAAATGGTACACGTATGTGCTAGCCCAATCCTTCTCAACCTTTTTCTTTTTCTTTCTTTCCTTTTTTTTTTTTTTTTTTGAGACAGGGTCTCACTATGTAGCTCAGGCTGGCCTTGAACTCACTGTGTAGTCCAGGTTGCCTCAAACTTGCAGCAATCTTCGTGCCTCAGCTTCCCAAGTGCTGGGATTACAGGCGTGTCCCACCATGCCCGGCTTCAGAACGATTTTTAAGGAGGGGAAATCAGTTGGCATTATCACTGATTGGAGTGTGGAGCTGTCTGAGAGACAGCGATGACTGGACGAATCGTACAGCTCAGGGAAATGGCCATCCCCTCTTTCCCCTCCCCACTCACATCTTCTCTGACAGATCCTCATCCTCGGGGAAAGTCAAGTTGCGCTTAATGATAAGGGCTTCGGTGATGCAGACACCGTCCTCTGGGCTCTGGGCAGGTTTATCTGTGAAACGATGATTCTAGTCGTCATTTCTTCATTCTTGGAGGCCCGACCCTACGGCCGATCCTACTGTTCACTCTGCTGTGCTGTTCTACCCAACCGCCCACCTCCCTGCTCACCTCCAGACATGACCTAAAATAGACGAGAATTTTGACTGCCCTGAGATAGAGGAAAAAGCTCAGCCCTGGGAGACAAGGGAAAGGAGTTGATTTACAGTAACTTTTTAGGGGTAAGTTTGAAGACAGTAGTAAATAGGGATGAAGAAGTCTGGATTTGATGGGTGTGGAGGCGCTTTACTGGCAACAAACAGGAGTTGCGGGCAGGAGGAATAAACTAGCGGTTCCCAAGAGCTCCTCGTCGTGGCTAGGAGACTGGACGCGGTGGGAGGGGTGGCGCTCCTTGGGTCCGACTCTGCGCATGCGGAGTACAGCTTCTTCTGGTGGCTCCGCCTACCACTTCCGGTTCTCTGCCCCACAATCCTGAGCTACTTCCGGCTCCTTTCGGCTCTCGTCTGTTCTTCCGGTGGCAATGGCTGCGGCCGTGGCTGGGGTACTGCGAGGTGGTCTCCTGCCCCAGGCGGGTAAGGAGTGACCCAAGACCTCGCTGCCCGTCTGGGCAGCGCTCCCTGGTCCTTGTATCCCCTCCCCTACTTCTGACCCTTCCATTAATTTCTTGCACCGGACCGCTCGGGGTGATCTCTAACACCAGCTAGATCGCTGGCCTCATGCCACCCACTTCTCGGTGACTCCAGACTGGTAATTGCAGCAACGATGTCACCAACAACAGCATTTATGTCCTACGTTCCAGTCCCCCGGCTCTGGGTTTTTCTAATGCACCACGCAGCTCTTGCCGCCGACCCATATTCTTTGCTTAGACCACTCTTGTCCGCACGTTGTTTGTTTGGTTACTGGGGATCGAACTCGGGTCCTTGCGCTTGCACAGCAGGCGGTGAAACCACTGAGCTAAATCCCCGGCCCTTGCCCGCACGTTGTGCTCCGTGCCTCCTTCCTTCCTTCATAAATCCTCCGCATGAATGTCGCCTCCTCAGGCCTTTCCACTGTCTGTGAAGCAAGTTTTCTCGATTAAATCTTTCTTGTATTAGTCAGCCCATGGTCCCATCAGGATCTGTAACTTTGCATTTTGTTTATTCGCTTGTCTCTATGAGATTTTAAACCCCCTAAGGGTAGAGCCGTGTTCCTTCCGCATAGCCTGCAGGTGGCATGATGCCCGATGTTAGTGACACGCAGCAGATTTGTTCAATGAATTTAAGTACTGACTGTGGGCCAGGAATTATGATAAATCTTTTACATGTATTACCTCATTTATTAAGAGTTCTTTTTTTTTTTTGGTACCGGGGTTCAAACTCGGGTCCTTGTGCTTGTAAGGCAGGCGGGGGAACCACTGAGCTAAATCTCAGGCCTGTATTACCTCATTTAAACTTTAAAGCACTCTATGGGGAAGGCATTATCATTCCCTCTTCACACGAGGAAACAATTTTGTACCGGTTGAGGGACTGGGCAAGTTCACAGTAAGTGGCAGGAGAGCAGTTAAAACCCAGTTGCTAGGGGCCGGGGATTTAGCTCAGTGGTTTCGTTGTCTGTTGCGCAGGCTCAAGGACCTGAGTTCGATCTCCAGTACCAAAAAAAACACAAACAAACCCCAGTTGCTGGCTGGGGATGTAGCTCAGTGGCGCTGTGCTGGCCTCAAAAGTGCAAGGTCCTGAGTTCACTCCCCCCCCCCCCCGCCAAAAAAAAAATTCCATCTGATCTCAAAGCTGCTCGTTTTTTGAGACAGGGCCTCACTGTGCAATTCAGGTTGGTGTTGAATTCACTGTGAAGCCCAGGCTGCCCTTGAACTCTTGCTTCAGCCTCTTGAGTGCTGGGATTACAGGCATGAGCCACCCCATCTGCCTCCAAAGCTGCTCTTAGCATTTAGGTTTTTGTGGCCACTGGCATCGAAACCTCTTGCCCCAGCAAATCTGTGCTGTCTGACCTTCTAGCTGACTCTTTCTGAGGTCCCATCTCAGCCTTGGGAAAGGTAAAAGTGGGCAGCTCTAATCTTGGGCCCTGGGTGGAGGATGAAGGGGTCACTTTGGCTCAGGGCTTTTGGCTATCTCCTTGTTTCTGAGGGGTGCTCGTAAGTGCTTGTCCACAAGAAGGAAAGAGGAGAGAGAAATGGGAGAGCTATGAGGCTGGTGTAATTTTCCCCCCTCTTTCTTCAAATTATGGCAGCAGCCTGGGAGCAGTGATTAGGGTGTGGCAGGCATCAGCATCAGCATCAGCAGGAGGGCTTTTTAAATGACCTTTTGCTGGCCTGCTCCAGAGTTTCTGAGTCAGTAAGTCTAGAGCAGGCATAAGAATTCGTACTTCTCACAGGTACCTGGATGATGCTGATGTTAGCTGGGTGGGGTGGAGAGAACTTCAAGAATCAGTGGGTAGGGGCAGGGATTTAGCTCACTGGTTCCTCGGACTGCCTGGAAAAGGGCAAGGTCCTGAGTTTGATCCCCGATACCCCGATACCAAAAAACCCCCAAAACAACCACTGGTTTAAACCAGTGATTGACATATCCCAGGAGGGCTGCTCACTGTGTGGTTTCTTTGTTTTGAGTTACAGTACTGTTGATGGAGTACAGGGCAGGTCTGGAAGTGATGCATGGTGGCACACTCCTGTAATCCAGCACTCTAGGAGGCTGAGGCAGGAGGATCACTAGTTTGAGCTCAGCCTGGGCAGTTTATTGAGATCCTATCTCAGAAGAGGGCTGGGGATTCAGCTTAGTGTTGAAGCCCTAAGATCAGTCCCCAGTACAGAAGGAAAAAAAAAAAATGGAGGGGCAGGGATTTAGCTCAGTGGTTTTGTTGCCAGCTGCACAAGCGCAAGGACCCGAGTTCAATCCCTGGTACCAAATAAATAAATAAATAATGGAGAAACGGAGGCCTCAAGGGACCAAGCAACTGACCTAAAGTAGCAAGGTGTGGTGGTGCACACCTGGGATCACAGCACTCTGGAGGCTGAGTCAGGAGGATTGCCAAAGTTCAAGGCCAGCCTGAACTACATAGCGAGACCCTGTCTCAAAAATAAAATAAAATTTTAAAAAGAGCAAAGGTTGGGAACTCAGGGTTTCTGCTGAGCCGCTCCTTGCCCCACTGTCATGCTGCATTGCCCTCTGTGAGCCATAGCTGTCTCTGTCCAGAGTGTGGACTTTTTCTGCACAGGAGCATGCAAAGGCTCCAAAACCACCTCTCGCTGTCGCTGTCCCCTTCCCAGGCTGGCTGCCCACCCTCCAGACCGTGCGCCACGGCTCCAAGGCGGTGACCCGACACTGGCGTGTCATGCACTACCAGCGGCAGAAGCTGATGGCTGTGACTGAGTACATCCCACCCCGGCCCGCTGTGAGCCCGAGATGCCTGCCGCCTCCCCCCAAGCCCCCCAGGGAGGTAGGGCGCACTGGGCGCACAGGGCTGGGTGGCGCGACGGTGCCCTGAGATGACTTTCTCTCTCAGGGTGAAGTCATTACGTTGCCCTGAGCTGCACCCTGTCTCAGAATAAAAAATTAAAAGAAAGAAAAGGGGAGGGGCCTGGGGATATAGCTCAGGTCCTGGGTTCAGTCCTCAGTAAAAGAAAGCTTGTTTTGTGAAAATGTCTCAGTTTTAAGCCTGCACTGCCAAACAGTGGTTAAAAAAAAAAAAAAACCCACTGTTTTTTTTTTTTTTTTTTTTTTTTTTTTTTTTTTGGTACCGGGGATTGAACTCAGGTCCTTGTGCTTGCGCAGCAGGCAGTGGAACCACTGAGCTAAATCTCCGGCCCTTAAAACTGGTTTTTTGAGACAGGGTCTGCTGTGTAGCCCAGGCTGGCCTCAAACTTGCACCAATCCTCCTGCCTCAGCCTCCTGAGTGCTGGGATAACAGGCATGCCCCACCATGTCTGGCCTAAAGAGCTACCTTTCATTTCTTTTTGTTTGTTTATTTCTTTATTGGTGCTGAAGATGGAGCCCAGGTTCTCATATATGCTAAGCGTGTTCTCTACCACTGAGCCGAACCCCAGCCAGCCCTGTCTTGTATTTGCCATTGGTAAAATAACCCAATGTGAGCAGAGTGTCAGATTGCTACTTGAGGTAATGCTCACGTATTATTGCCACAGTCTTGACTGTGGGGAGCAGCGTGGGTGCTTGGGTTTGCAGCACGGCCTGAGTCTGTGACTCACTATCGAACATGGAGGGGCTATGGTGGGTGATGTCCCAGTCTCTGAGAGTCAGGGCCCGACCGTCCCACCTGTCCACCGAGCTGTTGTGTCCAGCCGCACTGGAAGCCCCAGCAGCTCTCTGGGGTGAATGAAGGGTGCCAGGAGGAGAGACAGCTGGCTCCCCTTGGCCACCCCCCTCGCCGTAGGAATCAGGCCTCATCCGGGTCCTCCGGCGGGAGATAGCAGCAGTTTTCCGGGACCACCGCATGATAGCCGTCTGCCAGAATGTGGCCATCAGCGGTGAGGACAAGCTCCTCATGCGGCACCAGCTGCGAAAACACAAGATCTTGGTGAAGATCTTCCCCAACCAGGTAGGGGCCTCTCTGGCAGGGCACCCCTCTGCCCCCAGGGTCGCCAGCCAGTCTCAGCTCTGCTCCCTCTAGGGCTTTCTGTCGGCCTGGCCTAGCTGCTGTCTGCTCTAGTGCCTAGACTGTGGCGAGGGGGTGAGGCACCCTGGTGCCACCATAGCCACCTGTGACCACGGTGAGAGGCCTGTCCCCCTGCTGTTCTCCATCGGCCACTCTCCTGCCACACCAGGTCCTGAAGCCCTTTCTAGAGGATTCCAAATACAAAAGCCTGCTGCCCCTGTTCGTGGGGCACAACATGCTGTTGGTCAGCGAGGAGCCCAAAGTCAAGGAGATGGTGCGGATCCTGAAGATGATGCCCTTCCTGCCACTGCTAGGTGAGCAAGCGCCCTGCTTCTGAGGGCCAGGGGGAGAGGGGGGTGCCCCTGGGCCTGGTGTTGTTGTGGGGCGCATCTTCTCAAGGGAGAGGCCTGAGTCAACAGCACATTCTTCCGTTTGTTTGTTATTTTGAGACAGGATCTCCTTAGGTAGTCCAGGCTGGCCTTGATTCACGGCAGTCCTCCTGCCTGGGCCTCCTGAGTGCAGGCATGACAGACCTGCACCACCACAATGGACAATATTAGTTGTGTTTATGATGTATAATCATCACCCCCATCCATTTTCATAATTCCATCTTATAAAACTGAAACTCTGTACCCACCAAAAAATAACTTCCTGTTTCTTTCCTCTACTACAGGATTCTGTCTTCCAAAAAGTTTAGGGCTGGGGATTTAGCTCAGTGGCACTGTGCCTGCCTCGAAAGCACAGGGTCCTAAGTTCGATCCCCAGTACCAAAAAAAAAAGTTTAGTGAGCCGGGTGTGGTGGCACATGCCTCTAGGCCCAGCACTCTGGGAGGTTGAAGCAAGAGAATCACAGCTTTGAGCCCAGCCTAAGGTGACTTAGTGAGAACTTGTTCAAAAAAAAAAAGGTGGGTGGGAGGGAATGTAGCCCAGTGCACAGGTCCTTGGATGAGAAGAAAAGACAGGAAACACTGGCTTATGGGGAGCTGGGGCCAGGTGATGTGTTAGGCAAGTTTTGGAGAGAAGCAGAGGGGGTTGATCCCCGACAGTGGAGATGGGATGGGCTATAAGCGGAGCTGAGTTCTGGGCAGGTTGGTGGGGGCGGGTAGAGTTGGGGTGCTATGTTAGTAGGGAGCCCAGCTGAGCCTGTGTCTTGCAGGTGGCTGCATCGATGACACCATCCTGAGCAGCCAGGGCTTCCTGAACTACGCCAAGCTGCCCAGCCAGGCCCTGCTGCAGGGCGAGCTGTTAGGAGGACTCAGCTTCCTGCTGGCCCAGACCCACACCCTGCTCCAGCGCCAGCCCATGCAGCTCACTGCCCTATTGGATCAGCACATCAGACAGCAGCAGGAGGGGGACTCGGCCAGGACAGCCAGTGAGAAGCCAGACCCTCCCGAGCCGGTTCTGGACTCCTAGCCGGCCTGTGCCCCCAGCCCGCCCACAGACACCCCACCCTGACTTGCCGGCCTCTGTCCGAGATGCCAAGGCGCTCGGGGTGGTGCGTGTGACGTGGCTTCCACCCATAGCCACCTGCACGGGGACAGGACCACTCGAGACAGTGAGGCTGCTGGTCACTATCTCTCACTAGTTTCCCATGGGGCCCGGATGGAAGCAATCCCTTCCGTTTTCCGCCATGAGGCCAGAGGGCTTCAAATCTTGCCCTGGTCACCTCCCCCTCACCTGCTGTCCCTTGTGGACGTCTCCCTGCCCACTTTGGGGGCCCAGGCAGCTACAGAACCTCCGCTGAGTGGTGGTGCAGAGTGGCCCTGTGGGGAACCCCCTCTGCTGAGCACGCACAGTCAGTCCCTGGACCCTCCCAGTGTCATACAGGAGAAATGGACAGAGAACGTCAGTGGACGCCCAAGGTCCTGCAGTCCACAGTGGCAGAACAGGGACGCGGCCCAGGCTCTCGCCCTGAATCGGGGTCACCTGCGTGATCCTGGGTAGCTTGGAGGTCACCACCCTGCCCTCGGGGGCCCTGTGGTGGGCGGTGCGTGGTGATAAATGGATTGTACGAAGGACTTGGTGTCAGCAGAATCTTTTCCAGGATCTTCTGTCGCCTCTGCCTGGCCTTACTTCCTAGCAAACCTCTCCTCCTCCTCCCCGTGCCGTGTCCACCGGCGGCATCTCTTTCATGCCGGTCCCTTTGAAGGCCACTGACAGCTGTGCCCATGTCATGGGGTGCTGCACAAAAGAGCTGTCAAGGGGCTCTGGGGCCCGGGAGGCTGCTTCCTCCAAGTCTTGGAGCCAGGACCTCCTAATCAAAGGGCTGAGGTAGTGCCCGGGCTGTGCCAGGTGGGTGGCTCTTGTGCAGCCCTTCCTGGGCTTGGCGAGGTGCCTGGCAGACCTAGTCCTGGGCAGGTACTGTTGGCCCTGGAGTGCAGCAGCTGCTGTGGCCCGAGCCAGAACCAGCTTCCCGCTGCGGCCGGCTCTGTCGGTGCCTGGGGGCGTTCAGTTGGTGTGGAAGGGATGGAAAGCCCTGGAGGGTCCCCAGTGCCCAAGCTGGTGCCCATGCCACCCTTGGGAGGCTGAGCCGCGCTGAGCTGAATGGAGCTGAGACCACTGGTGTCCCTGAGCCATGTGGATGACCCGACCTGCTTCGGATCCTCTGGGGACGGTGCAGTGGACAGGCACCCCACACCATTCCCCCGGGCCAGAAGGACCTCAAATCACATCCTCCCCCTGCTGGGGATGGTGGCCGAAGCTCCCATTAAAACCCACTTCTTTTAAGAAAACTACTTTGTGGCAGTTAAACCCATCAGTCTGTGCCACATCCATTTAAGGGAATTTTAGGGTATTGTGTTTTTTGTTTTTTTTTATGGAGACAGGGTCTCGCTATGCAGTTAGGCTGGCATTGAACTCACTATGTAGCCCAGGCTGGCCTCAAACTTGGGGTGATCCTCCTGCCTCAGCCTCCTGAGTGCTGGAATTACAAGTGTGTGCCATCACACCCGGCATAGATCTTTCTTAAAAGCCAATTTTCCCTTCAGACCTAGGGCCGGGGATTTAGCTCAGTGGTCTTGCTGCCAGCTGCACAAGCACAAGGACCCGATGTTCGATCCCTAGTACCAAAAAAACAAAACCCTTCAGACTTGAGCAGTTCAACATAGCTAAGAGTACGCAGAGAGGGAGGTGGGGGACCCAGGTTGGTGCCCCTTTTTCACAGGTGGTGGCTGACCCAGACTCCCGTGAGCATCCTGGGCGTGTGGCCATGGGCAGACCCTGTCGCCTTGACTGCCCTGCTGACTAGTCCTGGATGGTGGTGTCCCGGACAGGGGAGACATTTGTCCCTTGCCCTTCAACCTGATACCTTTGCTCACTCCAAATTTTGCCATCTATTTTCAGATGTAAAGTGAGAGGGGTAGGGGTTCATACGGAACCGGAACCGGCCTTGGCTGCTGGTTCCCTGAGATCAAGGCTGAGCGGATCGGAATAAATCCCCAACCCTGGCACGAGGCCAGTGGCGACCCAGTCCTCCCAGCCTCCGGAGCCGCGCCCCGAGCCGCACAGCCGCACAGCAGCGGCTGGGCCCTGAGTCCTCCGGGGAGCAGGGGGGCAGAGCTGAGCGGCCGCCCGGAGCTGGGCGGGAGGCGGCGCCGGGGGAGGGGAAGGTGGGGAGATCCGGCCGGAGGGGAGGCTCCGACGTCGCCTTCCTTCCTGGTTCCCTCAGTAGCCGCTCCTGCCACTGCTCGGCTCCCTCGCGGAGCCGGTGACTCGCCGAGGGTGACTCAGGTGCAGCGGCGCGAGGGCCACGGAGCGCTGGCGTCCATGGACCCTGGGGTAAGGCGGCCGCGGGAGGCGGTGAGGGGTTCCACCCGCCTGAGCTGGGCGCTGCTTCCCCGACTGACCGGGCAGGGCATGGAGCTGCCAGAGGGCGCCCGCCTGGCTCCTGATTGAGCCCCCCTGCAGCGGCCAGCAGCGAGGGCTCAGGGGCCCGAGGACGAGGGCACTGAGAAACGCAGGGAGCGGGAGAGTTTGTGAACTTTCAATGGCTGAATGCAGGAGTTTTGCCTCGGGGTCCCCGTGCTGCAACCTTCCAGCGGCCCTTCCCCTGCCACGTCCCTCTCCCCTCCTAGCCTGGCTCCTCCGTTGCTCACCAGCTGTACAAGAAGACCTGAGCTGCTCCCCTAGCCTCGGGCCAGCCTCGCCCCTCCAGTGCCCTCCCGGGTGCACACAGCCCCGTGCGTTATTGATCTCCTGCGGAGCCAGGGCAGCCAGGGCCCGTGCGGAAGGCGCCTGTGGGCACCGTTGTGGACCTGCGGACCTCGGCATGTTCTTGGCCACTTCTTCTCCTGGTCACGAAGTCCCCGTCAGCCCCGTGGCCTGCGCTCTCTGGGTGGGTGCCCCTTCTCAGGAGCCAGGAGGACTGACATGGGAAAGGGGGAACGTGGGGCTTTGGGAGACCTAGGGTCCAAGTCTGGGATCTAGGGGCATGTGGGGCAGGAGGAAGCGCAGGGAAAACGAGGGTTGTTTCAGGCCTTGGTGTCCCGGTGCAGAAAATGGGGCCCTGAGGAAATGGGGACCAACCGAGGGGGCTCGGAGGGTGCTTTGCCAGAAGATGTGGCCAAGCCGTGGTGGAGGGGTGGAGGGGCCTTGGAGAAAGAGGGACCCTGATGGAGGGGCTGCTGGCGGTCCCTGTCCCTGCTTCCCCATAACCACCCCCACCCCGGGTCTCCCGGGGCCCCTGAGTGTGCCCACCGGGCTGGTGCTGGCCTGTCTGTCTGCGCTCATTCACCTCAGTGAGCAGGCCATGGTTCCAGGGTGTGGGGAGAGGGACCCACCCAGGGTGGCATGGGGTACAGCAGAGGGCACTGGCAGGTGGGAAACACGTTGGCGGAGTCCTATCAGGGCGTCTCTCTCTTTCTCAAGGGCCCCCTCAGGACCTGGTGAGATCCTCACCCTTGCACCTGCTCCACACCCTCCACAGGGAGTGGCCTCTCCCTCCTCCATGGACTTCCAGGAGAGGGATACCCCATCCCTGGCTGACAGCACTCAGTCCTCAAAGCCCAGCAGCGGCCAGCAGGTCTGGGGAAGCAGCGGTGGGTGGACCTGGGACTCAGGGTGGCCAGTGGACTCACCCGCCGCGCGCTCCCCTTCCTGTACCCTGGACTGCAGGCCTCTGAGCTGTGGGAGGTGGTGGAGGAGCCCCAGGGCAGGCTGGGAGCAGAGGGTGTCAGGCCCGAGCGGCAGGAAGGGCACCTGCTGAAGAAGAGGAAGTGGCCCCTGAAGGGCTGGCACAAGGTAGGTGGCAGGGCCAGGGTGGGGCCGTGGGGGGAGGCTGCTGGGCGGCGCCGGCGTCTGCTTGGGAAGAAGAAAAGTCGAAGTGTCTGCTCTTTGCTCTCTCCTGCGCTTGTCCTTGCGGCCTCGCCGGCCGTCCCTGCTGAACAATGTCACAGAGGTACTTTGTGCTCGAGGATGGGATCCTCCACTATGCGACGACCCGGCAAGATGTGAGTCAGGGCCCTGGCTGGGGTGGGGAGGAGCCTGGCCAGAGCACAGAGCCGGCGGTGGGCATCCGCACCCAGCCGGGCAGGCTCTGAACACCAGGTGCAGCTTTTGCAGGGAAGCAGCTTACAGCCACGCTCCGTGTCCTCAGTCCCCTCCCTCAGGCCCCAAGTCTGCAGATTCCACCAACTGTGGATCCAAACTACTTAACTACCTTTTAAAGCTACCTCGGTACGGAACATGTACAGGTTTTCTTCTTGTCACTAAGCCCTAAACATGACAGCACAACGATAATTGACGTAGCGTTCACACTCTTAGGTGTTGTCTGTCGCATTCTGCAACAGGAGGTGACTGACACGTCCCCTCTGATAGTGTCACTTGGGCCTGAGGGTGCATTGTTGCCTGGGCCTTGAGCCTAGAGTGGGCTCAGGGGATGGTGGCCCTCTGGCTGTGGAAAGCTAAGCCCGGTCCCGATTCCCACCAACCACACACCAGATCGCCAAGGGGAAGCTGCACGGCTCCATTGATGTCCGGCTGTCGGTCATGTCCATCAACAAGAAGGCCCAGCGCATCGACCTCGACACCGAAGACAACATTTATCACCTCAAGGTGACACAGGAGCTGGTGATGTGGCTCAGTGGCAGACACTTCCCCAGGGTGTAAGGTCCTGGGTTCGATCCCTGGAGGCAGCACCTGGGAAGCCAGGAAGTGTTCCGTGCTCTGGCCTGGCCGAGGGCTGAGCACACGGGCACAGGGCCGAGGATCCATGCAGCTCAGGGCCTTTCCTGAGCTGGCAGGAAGAAAGTCACCATTGTAGGCGGCCATGGTGGGCCATGCCTGTAATCCCAGCACTCTGGAAGGCTGAGGCAGGAGGATTGTAAATTCAGCCTAGCCTGGGCTACTTAGCAATTTTGTGAGACTCTGTCTCAAAATAAAAAGTTAAAATAATGGCCAGAGATACAGCTCAGTGGGAATATCTTGGCTTAAATCCCCAGTGTCAGAAAAGAAAGAAAAGGAAAGAAGGAAGTTGCCATTGTATAGAACAGCCAAGGGCAACTGTCGGTTGTCACAGGAGCAGGCCCAGAGCTCGGTGTTGGACGCTTGGGATGTCGTGTTCCACCTGCCTGCAAGGGGCTTCAACCAACGGGATGCGCAGGAGGGACCCTGCTTCCTTGGGTCCAGAGCCCCAACTTCTTGCTCCTGGAAAGCAGCCCCTGCCTTCAGCTGTACCCCCATCTCCATCGCTTCTGCAGATCAAATCCCAGGACCTGTTCCAAAGCTGGGTGGCCCAGCTTCGTGCCCACCGCCTGGCCCAGCGCCTGGACGTGCCTGGCCCCGCTCATCGCAAGGTAGGATGGGCCCCGAGGCGGGGGCAGGTGGGGCCCATTCAGGGTGGCACTGCTGGGGACCTCCCTGACCCGTGCCTCACTCACAGGTTCCTGGCACCCAGCTCCTAACCGCCAGTAGCACCTCCGCCCTGCCTGGTGTTGGCGCCCAGGAGAAGGTGTCTTCCTGGCTGAGGGACAGTGACGGGCTGGACCGCTGCTCGCATGGTGAGGTGCGCCCCACGTGGGCAGAGCGAGCCCGGGCGCAGCCGGCAGAGGTGGGGGGAAGTGCAGGCAGGGTGGGGAGCACGATAGGAGCGCACCAGGGGGACTGCAAGTGCAGGGCAGGGCAGCAGCGTCAGGGTCTCCTGTCTTCCGTGGAGGGAGGAGGCGGAGGGACACACGGGGCCCTGGCCTGCGTGGGGAGTGACGTCCTCCTTCTGCTCCCAGCGCTCTCCGAGTGCCAAGGGAAGCTCCAGGAGCTACACAGACTCCTCCAAAGCCTGGAGTCCCTGCACCGCATCCCCTCAGCCCCTGTGATTCCCACGCACCAGGTAAGGGCCCTGCATCCCCGTCACTCCCCAGGGCAGGTCCCCGTCCCCTGCGCCGCCGCAGTTTCCTGGAGGGCCACAGTCTGCCCAGCAGCTGGAGGCTGGCTCTGCCCCCCCATGCCCACTGTGCCCGGGGTACCGGTGCCTTCCTCCTCCTCGGCTGCTGACCCCTTCCTCACTGCGTGAGTGAAGTTGCGCCCCTCAACTTGCCAGGCCTCAGGGACCACCGAGAGACCCAAGAAGGGCAAGCGGACCACCCGCATGTGGTGCACACAGAGCTTTGCCAAGGACGACACCATTGGACGGGTGAGGGGGCTGGGCCCAGGCTGCAGGGCGGGCCCCTGGGGACAGTGTTCCCTTACCCGCCCTTCCCTGCACAGGTGGCTCGTCTCCACGGCTCTGTCCCCAACCTGTCTCGATACATGGAGTCCAGGGACTCCTCGGGCCCCCGGGGGCTGCCACCCCCAGACTACGCCCACCTGCAGCGCAGCTTCTGGGCCCTGGCGCAGAAGGGTGAGTGTGAACTGGGGAGGGTGCGTGGGCTCGAGGAGGCAGGAGGGTGACGCGTCCCCCGGCCCGCAGTGCACAGTTCCCTCAGCAGCGTCCTGGCTGCACTCACCACGGAACGGGACCGACTGCGGGGCCTGCACCAGGGCTCCGAGCTGTCCAGGATCGGGGTGAGTCTGGGGACAGCGCGGCCTCACAGACAGCAGGGCCGGGCTGGGTGCAGGCGGGAGGCCCGGCCCCTCACCCGCTGCTCCCCCAGGTCCCCGGGGGGCAGCGACGCCTCCACTCGCTGTCCATGTCCTCGGACACCACGGCGGACTCCTTCAGTTCCCTCAACCCCGAGGAGGTGAGGAGCGGGGTAGCCTCTGCGGCTTCCTTCTTGGTGGTTGGCACTTTAGGGTTCAGTCTGGAAACAGAGCCCAGACCTGGGCTCCCACAGCACGGGTGCAGCCCCTCCCGGGACAGCCGGGGTCACCTACGGCACGTTGCCCTTTACCCAGCATCCACGACGTGGCGGTTCTGACCCTCTACACAGCAAAACTAGGGTCCAAAGAGTGTTGGGGGCTGGGCCTGGTGCCCCTGCCTGCCAGCTGTGTGACCACGCCGGTCATCCCAGCACTCAGGAGGCTGAGGCAGGAGGATGGCTGCACATTCCAGGCCAGCCTGGGCTGCACAGTGAGACCCTGTCTCAAAAGGACCTAAAAAAACATGAGTTAGTAGAGGAAAGGGGCTTGGAGCGGGGCTCAGAGTCAACGCCAGAGCCCTCCCAGGCCCGGCTCCCCGCAGTGGCCGTGGGCCTGACGCCTGTGTGGTCCCCATAGCAAGAAGCTCTGTACATGAAGGGCCGAGAGCTGACCCCGCAGCTGTCCCAGAGCAGCGTCCTGTCACTGGCTGACTCCCATACAGAGTTCTTCGACGCCTGCGAAGTCCTCCTTTCCGCCAGCTCTTCAGAGAACGAGGTGAGGGCAGGAGGCAGCCGGCACCAGCATGTGGGGTGCCTGGGAAGGATGCGGGTGGGGTTCACAGAGAGCAGGAGCTGCAGGTTGCCGAGCCCTCTCTCACACCCCCACCGTGTTTCTGGGAGCACACCGGCGGGCTCAGGTGGCTTGGCTCAGAAATCTCTGGGGGCCCTTGTCCCCACTTCTGGCCCCCGTCATCTCCCTGGGACCCCTTTTCAGCTTCTGTGCTCCCTCGACCCTGTCTCCCCAGACCTCGAATCTCAGTGGTCCCTAGTTTATCCTTGGGTCCCACCACACCTCACCCCAAGTGACTGGGGACGCCCCGTGATGCCAGACCCCTCAGGCAGTGTCTTAGGGCTCAGCCCCCCAGTGCCTTCTCCGCCCATCCCACCAAAGGGCTGGCTGGGCAGGTCCGTGTAGCCCTGGGCACTGCCCGGCTGCCACCATTGTCCCTGGCCCAGGGCTCTGAGGAGGAGGAGGAGGAGGAGGAGTCATGCACCAGTGAAGTCACCAGCAGCCTGTCGGAGGAGGTGCTACAGCTCAGGGGAGCCGAGCGCTGTCAGAAAGGTGCCAGGGGGCAGAGGCGGAGCCCAGGGCTGGGGCTTGGGGAAGGTGGCAGTCCCTTGTGACCAGTGGGCTAATGGCTCGGGCGCAGGGGTGAGCCTGGAGCTGAGGAAGGCTAAACTGAGTCAGGTAGCTTCCAGGACCAGGTCTAGCACATGGGCCATGTAGGCTGGGAAGCCCTGGGTAGGGTCTGACAGAAAGGCAGATGGTCATGTAGCACCAGAGACAAGCGAAAGGTCCTGCTTTTCAGAGTGGTGCAGGCCTATAATCCCAGCACTCAGGAGGCTGTGGCAGGAGGATCACCACAAGTTCAAGCCTGGGCTACATAGTGAGTTCAAGGCCACCTTGAACTACATAGTGAGATCCTATCTCAAAACAACAAAGGTCCCAGTTTGGCACTTGTTAGCAGAGTGGCTTTAGGCCTGTCTTTTTATTTCTTCCTTCCTAAGAGGCAGCATCATCAGCCTCCTGGTGTTTGCTTCTATTTGCAAGTATGCAGCAAGGCTGGGACTTGGCAAGGCTCTGGGGCACTAGGCTGGCAGGGGCACTGTCCTCTCTGGGTGGTTCTTCCACCTCAGTCCCGCGATCCCCAGCCACCCTGCCCACCGCGGGTAGAGACGGCTGGTCTGCGAGTGGGGTCCGGAGGAGTGACCTGGCCGGGTGGCCCAGGGGGCTGTGTTCCAGGGAGAGCCCCGGGGCCGCCGCGCCGCCGCTGCCTGCCGGCCGCCAGTGGACCTGGGGCTGACGTGAGCCTGTGGAACATCCTGCGGAACAACATCGGCAAGGACCTGTCCAAGGTGTCCATGCCCGTGCAGCTCAATGAGCCGCTCAACACGCTGCAGCGGCTGTGTGAGGAGCTGGAGTACAGCAGCCTCCTGGACCAGGCCAGCCGCCTGGCCGACCCCTGCGAGCGCATGGTACCCACGGGGTGTCCCCGGGTGCCGGCTGGGCATCCCCGCTGCTCGGGGGGCGGCAGCCCCTGCCCGGCTCGCACAGCGTCCTCCTCCCGCCGCAGGTGTACATCGCGGCCTTCGCAGTCTCGGCCTACTGCTCCACCTACCACCGCGCCGGCTGCAAGCCCTTCAACCCGGTCCTCGGGGAGACCTATGAGTGCGAGCGGCCGGACCGCGGCTTCCGCTTCATCAGTGAGCAGGTGCGGGGCGGGGCGGCCCGGCCGGGAAGGGAGGGGAGGGGAAGGGAGGGGAGGGGTGCCGCTCCAGGCGGAGCCCGGCCTGAAGAGGCCCAGCGCGTCCTGGAGGCCGCACCGGACGCTGCTCTAGGGGGTGCCCTCGAGGCGGCTCGGGAAGGATGAGTTAGTTGGAGGGAGTGGGGAGCACTGGGACGTTCCAGTGTGGAGCACATTCCAGAAGGCTCGGATGAACCCTGAGGAGCCTAGGGGAAGGGAAGGAGGATGTGGCGTTTTGTTTTTAAATCCTGAAGGCAGATGTAATCCTAGGTCTCAGGAGGCTGAGGCAGGAGGACCACCTCGAGGTCAAGGCCAGCCTCGGCTAGTGCAATTCTGCCTCAAAAGACTAAAAAAAAACACCCCAAATCCTGAAGGCAGAGAGTCATGAAGGGGAGGATATGAAGCAGTGTAGTGGCAGGCTCTGAACTGCACTTTGTAGAGAATCTTGGGCCTCAGGGTGTGGTGGCTGGCACAGGCGGTTAGGAGAGCCGATGGCCCCCACCCTGAGGTGCTGACCCAAGAGCTGTTACCACGCCACCTTGGTGGGCTCGGTGTCCACAGTGCCCTTACTGGAGGGGCCAGCATGGCCGGTGACAGGGAGTGTCTGCATGCCTTGCCCTTCAGGTCTGGGTTCTGCGGTCGGTGGAGGGGCAAGATGGAGCATGTGAGGGGGAAACTGAGTCAAGGAGACAGGACCGTGGGGTTGGCTTTCCTCAGGCAGATGTGCAGGAGGCTTTGGGCTGGGCAGGGAGGGAGAAGTCGGGGACCCCAAGAGGGGTGTTGGGCAGGAGGAGAGCCCTGGCCTGTGGGACCCAGGGTGTCGCTGGCTTCCTGAGCGAGGCAGGTTTGGGGGTAAGAATGGGGTGAAGGTTGGGTCACAGAGGATGGAGAGTGGAGGGTTGAAAAACAGACAGACCATTTCCAAAAACTTACACGAGGGAAAGAAAAGAAAGAGTGCCTGCTGCAGAGGAAGGATGAAGGGCCGAGGCCATTTGCTTGTTTTGATTTTAGGCACTTTTGAAAAGATGGGGAAAATTTTCCAGGCCTGAGCAGTTGGGGTCCCGGAAGTCTTGCCCGGAGCCATGGGTGCCGGGGGACTGGGAGACAGGCAGGAGGGCCATGGGGGGCATGGCGTTTCCGTGCCAAGGGTGTGAGTGGCCTTCAGGAGGGGTGAGGGACCCTCAGGTAGGGCAGGCAGGGGCCCCACCTGGCACGGTTGTCGGGGCACTGGATAGGCCTCCCGGGAAGAGTAAGAGGAATCCAGGGGACCTTGTGGAGGGTGGGGTCCCCAAGGACAAGGGGCAAAGACCCAAACTAGCTGGTCTGGCTCACGGTGGGAGTGAGGGACTTGGGGCCCTCAGGGACAGCCTCGAGGGAGCCCCTCTGTCCGCCAAGGTCTCCCACCACCCCCCCATCTCGGCGTGCCATGCGGAGTCCGAGAACTTCGTCTTCTGGCAAGGTGAGGAGCAGGTGGGGCACCAGCCGGGCAAAGGGCGCTGGGGCAGGGGCGGACCCCTGGCCGGCCTCATCTGTGTCTCCTCCCACTCCCACCCCGCCCGTTGCAGACATGAAGTGGAAGAACAAGTTCTGGGGCAAATCCCTGGAGATCGTGCCCGTGGGCACCATCAACGTCAGCCTGCCCAGGTGGGTGAGGGTTGTCGCCTCTTGCAGCCAGTCGGGATGGGTGGGGCCTGGGGACAGGATGGAAGCGCCTGCACATTTTACACCTGTATTTGAGGCAGCTGCAATAAAAGAGGTGAGAAGCCTGGAACAGTATGTATGGCGGGAAGGGCTCCTCCCTGTCACCTGATTCAGTGCCTTTTGCAACTTTCTGACCGTGACTCACAGTAAGGAATGTTGAAACTTCAACCCAGCACGAGTATGTCAAGACTAATGGCTCACAAACCATCTGTGAAAAACTGTCAAATAGGGAGCTGGGGGTAGCAGCGCACACCTGTGATTCCATCACTTGGGAGGCTGAGGCAGGAGGATCACCATGAGCTTAAGGACAGCCTAGGCTGTGTAGTGAATTCAAGGCCAGCCTGGAATACACTGCGAGACGCTGTCTCAAAAAAAGGGGACTGCCCCTCACAGTGGAGCCGATGCGGGGATTCCTGGGTTCCTTCCACAGACCCCTGTGACCCGCTCCAGCCACACAGGTGTCTCCTGCCCCACCACATGCTCCCCAGCCGCACCCTGTCTCTCTCAGGTTTGGGGACCACTTTGAATGGAACAAGGTGACGTCCTGCATTCACAACATCCTGAGTGGCCAGCGCTGGATAGAGCACTACGGGGAGGTGCTGATCCGCAACACGCAGGACAGCTCCTGCCACTGCAAGATCACCTTCTGCAAGGTGGGCGCCCCCTGCCCCTCCCCTGGCCCGCAGCCTCTGCCTGGGGAACACCTGGCTGGGGGCCAGGGACCCTCCCTGAGGCCAGCCTGCCTGCCCTAGGCCAAGTACTGGAGCTCCAACGTGCACGAGGTGCAGGGTGCCGTGCTGAGCCGCAGCGGCCGTGTGCTCCACCGCCTGTTCGGGAAGTGGCACGAGGGCCTGTACCGGGGCCTCCCGCCAGGTGGCCAGTGCATCTGGAAACCCAGTAAGTCGGGTGGCGGGGCGGCCCGGGCAGGGTGTGGCAGCCGTGGCAGCCCACCAGCCCCAGCACCTCACCTCCCCCAGACTCAATGCCCCCAGACCATGAGCGCAACTTCGGCTTCACCCAGTTCGCCTTGGAGCTGAACGAGCTGACGGCAGAGCTGAAGCGGGCGCTGCCGTCCACTGACACGCGGCTGCGGCCAGACCAAAGGTCGGTGCCTCTCAGGCGACAGGAGGCGCGGCCCTGGCTGTGGGTGTCTGCAGGGTGGCAGCGCCCTGACTGTGGCCTGGGCCACCTGACGTCAGGTACCTGGAGGAGGGCAACATCCAGGCCGCGGAGGCCCAGAAGCGGAGGATCGAGCAGCTGCAGCGGGACAGGCGGAGGGTGATGGAGGAGAACAACATCGCGCATCAGGCGCGCTTCTTCAGGTGCCTGCCCTGTCCCTGCATGGGGGCCTGGGGGCCCCCAGCCTCCCTTGCCCACCGCCCTCTTCCCGCAGGCGGCAGATGGACGGCAGCGGCAAGGAGTGGTGGGTGACCAACAACACGTACTGGCGGCTGCGGGCCGAGCCGGGCTACGGGAACCTGGACGGGGCCGTGCTCTGGTAGCCCTGGCCGGGCCTCACTCTCCTGCCTCCAGCCTGGGCACGGACACATGGGTGAGGCCAGGCTCCCCTCGCTGCCCGGAGCCCAGGGGCAGCCCTGGCCCGGCCCTGCCCGCTCTGCCGGCCGGAGGGGACCGCTCAGCATGCCCCGTGCCCGCGTGCGGGGCACAGGTGGAACCCGCGCTTCCCCAGTCTTGTTGCCCCGACAGCTGGCATGTAAGACCCTGCCCGCTCTGTCACCCCTTCCTGTGCCCCGCGGGGTGCTTGGGGGGACTCCAGGCTCCCAGGATCTGCTCCCCATTCAGTGCCTTCCTAGGACACGGGGGACCCCTTGATGCTCCCCGGCCCTCTGTGCCCAGGGCGCCGGCTGCTGGAGTGAAGCAGAGGAGGCGTCCTTTTCTCCGCAGTTCCGCCCAGCATTTCCTTTCGGACCCTGGCCAGCGGGCCTTTCTGCAGCTCCCTGGTCCTTGGCCACCCACGTCCTTCTCCCTCAGCTTCCAGCTCCTTCGCCCCCAGTCCTCCAGTGCTTCCTTTCCAGAGGAGCCCTCTCCAGGAGGCAGGGACCTCCGAGGCCCTGGCTCAGAGCCACCCAAGGGAGCCCATGCGCATGCGTGCATGCGTAGGTGCGTGGGTGCGTGGGTGCGTGCGGTGTCCCACTTGCAGGCAGGCGGGAGTCCCGGACACCACGTTCCGAAGTGTCCGCCATGTTTGCTCGTTTTCTCAGTTTGCCTCTCCGTCAGGTGAATTGCTGTGACATTCCAAGCTCCAATAAAGACTTTGACCTGTGACCATTCATTGAAAAAGATGCACTCAAGCCCCATGCAGGGACCAAAGCCACCATTGCGACTTGAATTGTGTCCCTAACAGATATGTTCCCAGTCCCTCCCTCGGAAGATGGCCTTGTTCAGAGAAGGCCTTTGCAGACATAAGTGAAACTGAGGCCATATGGGATTAGGGTGGACCCTCATGCAGTGACGGATGTCCTTATAAGAAGAGGGAAAGCTGGGCGCACAGACACGCAGAAAGAAGAGTTCAACGGGAGAGCTGGGCGTGGCGGGGCAGGCCTGTGATCTCGGCGCTTGGGAGGCTGAGGCAGGAGGATCACTGCAGGTTCAGAGCCAGCCTAGGCTACACAGTGAGTTCAAGACTAGCCTGAAACCTGTCCCAAACAAAGGAGAAAAAGAACCAGACACAGGAGTGGGCCTCATGGGCAGGTGGCAGAGATTAGGGCGAGGCATAGAAAGAATGCCTAGGGTCCCGGGACTCCTGGGACCTTGTTCTCACCCCCAGCTCAGCTGTGAGGTTTTAGGTCACCCATGGGTGGCAGTTTGTTAGGGCAGCCCTGGGCCAGTGCAGCTTCCCACCCACCCGAGCTAAAGCCCCAAACCCTCTGCCACACCTGGAGCTTGGCCTCCTCATCCCTCGCCTCCAAGTGCCCCTGCTCAGCTCTTCTCTGCATGGCACCTGGCTGAGGCCAGGCCTCACCTGCCTGTCCCTGCTGTCACCATCCCTTCCCCCCTTGGCCTGGCTCTCATGTTCCCTCACCATTTGTTTTAGACCCCAGTTTCTCACTGGGCTTCTTAGGTGTCCATGAAGAATGTCCATGGAGCAGGCTGACTTTGAATTCACAGCGATTCTCCCGCCTCAGTTTCCTGCAGGCTTGGATTACAGGCATTCTCCACCACACTGGGCAAGAACTTTTTTTTTGGTAAGGGGATCGAACTCAGGACCTTGCACTTGCTTGCAAGGCAGGCGGCGGAACCACTGAGCTAAATCCCCAGGCCCAAGAACCTTTTGAAACCGGTGTGCACAACCATCCCCCGTGCCTGCCCCACAGAACACCTGAACAGCCACCCTGCTTTCAACTTCACATGCTTTAATAATTGGATCGAGAGAGACCAGATCGAAAAGCCATTTTCCCTGTCCCGACAGCCCAGGGAGAGCCCGTCACCCTGGGACTGGGGGAGACCCGAGTGCCTGGTCTTGGCTAGAAGACAGAGGGGCCCTGGAGCGAACTGGAGCAGCTTGGGCTTAAGGACCCCAGCTCCCAGCGCATGCCAGTGAGTCAAGCTGGGGTCCCCCTTCCCTGAGTGGGCAAAGGACAGCTTGAAGCAGGGAGGGAGGCTCTGGGGTCCAGGAAGGGGACAGAGGGAGGAAGAGGCAGGAGGTGTCACCTCATCTGCCCCAGATCTTCCAGCCCCGCAGTGCTCCACCCAGAGGTAATTTTTAAAAATTTAATTATCCAGGGCTGGGGATTTAGCTCAGTGGTGCCACCACTTGCCTCGAAAGCACAAGGTCCTGAGTTCGATCCTGAGTGCCAAAAATAATAATAATAATTAAGTTATTGAGTAGCTGATGGAGGTGTTGAATTGCAAGAGGCCAAAAAGGTTGAAAGTACTTCAGATTCTCTGTACGGGTCTGTGTGTTTTGTTTGTTTGTTTTGTTGAGACAGAGTCTCAGTACGAAGCCCAGCCTGCCCTTGAACTCACAGCGATCCTCCTGCCTCAGTCTCCCCAGTGCTGGGATGACAAGTGTGCGCCCCCACACCTGGCTCTGGGCTGGGTCTTGCTCCCACAGTGATGTGTTCCGGGTACAGATGCTGAACCAGGTCGCCTGAAAGCCAAGCGCACCAGAGAGCATTCAGAGAGCTATCGAGATCCCCAGCAAGCCTGAGGTGCCTGGGACAGTGCTGGGCAGGGTGGCCACAGGGGCTGGGAGAACTTGGCCTTGGATTTGGGAGTTCCAGGGTGTCTTCCTAACGTAGGTTGTTACTGAGTGCAGACAAAGTCGCTGGGTTGCTGAAAGACGCATCCAAATACCGACAGAGGGAGTGCTTCCACACGGGCCAGTCCAAGCCGTGGGCGCTGTGCCCCCTGGGCAGGCTGGGCCGTGTGAGTTCCTGGGTGAGGGATCCCTCAAAATGAAGGCTGTAGCCGGGCGTGGTGGCACATGTCTATCATCCCAGCAATTGGGAGGCAGAGGCAGGAGGATCTCTGCATGTTTGAGGCCAGCCTGGGCTACATATTGAGTTCAAAACCAACCTGAAGTACATGGCGCAACCCTGTCTCAGTAAACCAAAAAACAGGATCTGACCCCACGAGGGAAGGTGGGAGGGGATATGGGGAGGATGTGGAGGGAGAGGAGACTGGAAGAGCCAGGGCAGGGAAGGGGGAGGACGGGCTGCTGGCCTGAGGCGGTCCACTGTTCCCCACACGAAGCTGCGATTCTCCGAGCATCCTCAAGGGGGCGCGCGGGCCGTAGAAAGGGCCCGTTGCGTCGCACGTGCAGGCCACCTGGCAGGTGGCTGCACCCCCATTGGGCCCAGAGCATGTGGGTGTGGTGCGGCCCAGCTCTGGAGTGACAGATGGCAGCACAGTCATCTTTTCAGCCAATTTCCAGCCACCTACCGCGGCCCCCTTCGAGATGCAGCGCTCCTGAGCTGGGACGCCCTTGTTCTAGGGGGTATCCAACCGCTCCCAGACCCTGCGGGAGGGCGGCCGGTGACAAGCCCCCCAGGATGGCTGGCTTAGGACCCCTACTCTCTGGGGCCGTCGGAGGAGGGCTTTTCCCTCTCCTGCCTCTGCAGCCTCAGAGCCCAGCATGCGCCCCGCTGGGGACCTCTGAATTTAGTGTCTCCCTAACTTTGGGCTTCCAAAGAGACCCCTGAATTCCTGGCCGATGGGCCTCTAGCCCCTTGCAGCTGTCTTGAGGTGCACTTTCTGAGGGTGGCCTGAGCCCAGGAATGAGTGCAGTCGCTTCATGGCGACCACAGAATCAGGGAAGTGGGGTCAGCAGTGGCCTAGGTACCAGGGCTGCACTGGCAAGAAGTGCTGGGGAGACTGAGTCCAGCACCGGAGCTGGGCTGGGATGTAGCTCAGTGGTCAAATGCTCCTTAGCAAGGCCAAGGTCCTGGGTTTGATCCTCCGCACCGCACATAAACAGGAAATCCGCAATGAATTATTTGTCAGTGCTGGAGGATACATTTTTTTTCCCCTGGTACCAGGAATCAAACACAGGCCCTTGCGCTTGTGAGGCAGGTTCAGGACCACAGCTAAATCCCCACCCTTGCAACACATTTTAAGCTGTTTGTTTTATAACTTTTGAACGTTTACTGGCTGGGCATGATGATGCACACCTGTGATTCCAGCACTCAGGAGGCTGAGGCAGGAGGATCACCACAAGTTTGAAGCCAACCTGGGCTACACAGGGAGGCCCTATCTCAAAAAAAAAAAATCCATTTACCACATAGTCCAGTGATGGGCTTGTGTTTATACTCCTGCCCAGGGCCCTCCAAGTGTTACAAGTGGCCAGAATAACACTCCCTGTGTCTTGGAAGATGAAGCGTGTATGTATGTGTGCGTGGGTGCAGGGGATGGGAATGAGGACAAGGAGAAAAGTACCTATAGGGCTGCTTCCAGGTTAGCTCATGCGATGTCACCCAGGACCCTGGAAAGGGACCAAGAAGCTGGCAGGAGGGAAGGGCAGGTCACAGTAGCCTCCTCCCTTCTGCTCCTTTTTTGTTTTGTTTTTTGAGACAGGGTCTCACTGCGTAATCCAGGCTGGTCTGGAACTCACAGCAATGATCCTCCTGCCTCAGCCTCCCAAGTGCTGGACGTGTAGGTGTGTGCCACCATGCCTGGCAGGTTCTCCTTTTAGCAAAGCCCAACAGGGGCGGGACAGCAGTGACAGCCTCTTCTTCCAAGCCAGGGCTGATGGCCACAGCCATCTGTTTAATGCCAGGGATGCCCTCGGTGTAGACAGGGAAGAGCCCCTGGACAACGTGCAGGGAGACCTGAGTTCTGCCCCTGACTCTGCTGCTTACTCCCTTTCCCTCTTTGAGCCTCACCTGCTGTGGCCATGCAGACACCAGCCGGTGCCTCAGTTTCCCAATAGATTTGAGACAATAGGAGGGTGTGCTTGGGGGGGGTTGGGGGGCATGGAGGGAATGGTGCCCTAAGATAGGGCACCTGCCTGGGTCCCCAGCCACCCTCCTGTGACTGTCAGGGGCGGGTCCCCTCCAGGTCAAGCTGGCTGTGGCCCTTGGGGACTAATGAGCCCCGAGGGCGGAGCGTCCCGGCACAGGGGGCCGAGGCCCCACCTCTGCTTTTGCTCTGGGGCCCACGGGCGGCTGGAGGATGGAGGTGGCTGGGACTTTGGGGCCACAGGGTGGAGCCAAGGATGGAGCCGAGGACCAGGAGCCCGGCTCGGTCGCCTGTGTCGCCCCACGGGGACCAGGGTGGCCTTGGGTCCACATCCTCCCCGCACTGTCCCAGGGTCCTGGGATCTTGGGTGGGGCCAGGTCCCCTCGGGAGCTCGAGCAAGGGACATGGGCAGGACAGGAGGGGACACCGGGTTGACCAGGCAGTCCAGGCCCACCCAGACCTCTGGCCCAACGTCTGCCTGGGCTCTGGGTGGCCTTGGGACAGCAGGGAACCTGGAAGTGGTCCCTTCCAACAAGCAGGTCTGTGGCGGGGCAGAAAGTGGTCCTCACCCAGCGATGCCCCAGCCCTGGCTCTGCCCTGGCTTCCAGGCCAGACGTCCCTTGGGGGCCTCCTTTGAGCCACTGCCCCCACCTGGCTCAGGGAGGGAGTTTTGACATTTATTTGTTTATTTCTTTAGAGATAGAGCCTCACTGTGTAGCCCCAGCTGGCCTTGTATCCATGGGGATCCTCCTGCCCCAGCCTCCCGAGTGCTGGGATCACAGGCATGCATCACTATGCCCAGCCTCATTTCTTTATTTTTTAAAAAAGTTCTAAACCGGGCATGATGGTGCACGTCTGCAATCCGA